GTCATTAACTCAGAATGAAGGGTTACCTTCATTAGCCTGGGACGGCTCCTCTTGGATTTGAGTGAAACCGAAATTCTTGTAAACCGCTTAGCAACTATATTGTCTAGGATGAGTTCCTGGGGTGCGTAACTCTATTAGTCCCGGTCGTGTACCTCTTCCTCCTCAGAGGAGGATGTCTGAAACTCAGGAACTCCATAAGGATCAATCGTCCACTTTTTATCAGATTTACGAACATCTTCACAGTTGCTATTCTCTTTTTTACGTTAGTTCCGAGATATATCCGGAAGTATGCGCACCTCACGTGATGAGTTACGGAGCCGAATCGACGACGGTAATACGGACTCTGTCAACAGCGGAGCTCAGTGTCACCGGAGAAGTCGTGGTTTACCGTAATGCACTGAATTTGGGTGACATGGGACCCGTCTCAGTGTCATGTGCTCAACCGAAATACAAATTGCACCACAAATAGATTGCCACCAGTTTCGGTCGTTCATCAGCTTCTCCTATATGTTACTGGACTGTGATTCTGGAACATCCGTGAACACAGAAGTTAAATCACCGTGATTTCTTCCGCTGGCTGCAGGTTCGAGAGTATCAATTGATAAGGTTAGAAGCTGAGTTACGCTCGTTGTTGCTGCCGGAGTCATGGGTGTTAGTCCGGCGTTTACATAGAGGTAACTGGTGCGTATGATGCCCGCCTTTTCCCTATGGTGAACAGACTCTGGCTCGGAGCTGACAACATCGATATCGAGTCAATGTGGGCTGTACCGCTGAAAGGAGTGGATGCAGGCGCGCTCGACGCTTGTCCGATAATGGGAGCGAAGTGAGCCGGAGAAATTGGAGACACAGACGTTGCAGTGCGGTTGAAGCATCTGGCTCTCTTCTTCCGCCTGGAGGCGGAGCTTGATTTGGCGAGCTGAGGTACGAGCGTTGCCATATTCACCTCCGAGAGTGCGATCTTAGTATTCACCAAATGCGCGATTGCCACAATCAACCAATCGCAACTCTTCATGAGAATGCATAAACAGTTGACAACTAGAATGATTTGACATGTCGCACAAAACCAAAATGCGCCGGCTACTTTGCTTATCTGCATCATTTCTTGGACGGACGTTCTCATACATTCCGGATGGAACGATTTAATGCTAACAGAATACGTTAACCACATTTAGAGGACTTCATCGCAAGTCTCTGAAGAGCACATGCGGTGTGGCACCGTGTTTGAAATGATGGTTGTACTTTTATGGTCACGTGCAGATTACAAGGGTCACTGCAACTTCCGGGGTCAGTACTGAGGCAATGCGTAATGGCGGTCACAAGCTGATCGTCTACACACGTGTGCACCCAATTGACGGGACAGATTGTCCGGCTAAACGGTCGGTGGGAGCCGGTTGCCGGAAAAACCAGAGAAACTGACGGATGAGCTCAAAACTGGATGCGAATGATGGGCAAACAATGGATCATTATTTTTTTCGTGAATGAAAATCCAGGTTTATTGGACACTTCAGAGAAAAGAGTAAAGAAACAGTTGGTTGGGTAACCGAAACGCGATGAATTTTCACGCGTAGGTTTGAACACGAATACGGTAAAAACAGCTAAAAGTGCTGGAACCGCGCAAGATGACGGAGAGGATGGAGCAAAATAGCGCAACGAGCATGAGCGTAAGCCGAATGTGCTGTCGGAAGATGAAGAGCAGAAACTGCACAATAACAAAGAATATAAAATCGACGCAGCCGCACGGTTGACTGAGGTAAACTTTCATGAATACGGAAACAGGAGGAAGTACCAGGATAGTGGTGTAATATGGCTGACGGGAGTAGAAAGCAAGGGCCCCGAACAGTTGATTACCTAACTACACCGAAATGTACAAAGCACATATACCAAATGTAACAACAGCCATTTTCCTCGGATAGATGGTAGCGCTATGAGGACAGGAACATGAAGATCTGGTCAAGGAGGATATTTGGTCCCAACACAAAGTGGTTGGTGTCGCAGGAATACGGAATTTCATGTAGTCACCTGATTGAGATCATGGCTGAAGCTGCGTTGGACGTGTCTTGAGACAAATAGTAAGATACAGAACCGCGCAAACCAGTTACTATGCTCCGGACACGATTCCGATGATGCTTAGAAGAATATATACCATTTTCACTTTAAACTGGACATTTTTCAAACCAAAGTGGACATTTTGCAAACCAAAGTGGACATTTTGCAAACCACATTGGACATTTTGCAAACCACAATGGACATTTTGCAAACCAAAGTGGCCATTTTGCAAAACAAATTGGACACGTTGCAATCTAAGTAGCAACTCACCAATTTGTTAGTAAGAAACGAGCAGTAAGACTGCTGAATGATGTTCAGCATATACATTGTGATGACGCTAATACACCGGCATTGTGTAAGCAGCGGGCTACACTGTAAAACATTTGCTTGATCGTGAGCAGCGACCGAAGTTCTGAACAACGCTCCCCTCTCCCCATTGACATTCGCCTAGTTGGTGTGCAGTGCCCATACGCATCAACCTGTGTTGGTGTGTGACAATTGGAAAATCGGACGTCCGAATCGTAATTGTGTATCAATCATTTTTTGAGTGGATTGCGATGCGCAATCTCAATGTGCACCGTTATTCTCATTAGAGGGAACCTTGTCCGATTCGGTCAATGGGACCATGTCGGATGAAGCAGGTAGGCGGTGTCCCAGCTTCGCCCGTCTCTCTATTAGCTTTTGCAACTGCCACGTTATTGCATCAGCGTAGGCTGTAATGACCCCCAGCAAATCCAGTCTAGATCTATAGCCTATTGTTGCAACATATCAACTACTGAGGAGTGGGCCGATTACACGATGTTCAGGCCACATTGTGGTCATGATAATGTAACCGAACTGCGTACGTAGCGGGTGATTGTGTAAGCCCTTCTCTTGACATGAGTGCCGTTCGCCTCGGTCAAAATCGGTGACCTATTTTCCCGTACACCCCCCCCCCCCCATAGGAATTCGTGTGTTTTGTCTGGGTGTGTGGACCGACCTATGCAGCGGTACCACAATTGGAGCCGAGCATACGATAATGGTTCCACTCAACCCAACTTAGCTTTATTAGCTCCGTGCCGCACGAAACGACCAAAATGAGTGACGAACAACAGGAGAGTTGGTGTCCGACGCGACGGCACTGCAGGCGAACATCATTTGCGCAAAGAGAAATTCTCACAAAACTTGTGCTGGTCGAGGGCAAAACTACTCGGGAAGCCGCTGAAGTCGCCGGTGTTAACGCGAGTACGGCAAGGAACATCATAAATGCCTACAAGCGAGAAGGCTCAAATACACAGCGCACCTGCGGTGGAAACAATAGGGAGAAGCTGACACCCAATGTATTGAAGCGCGACGAAGAAGCGGTTGAACGGCACTCTGAGGACACGTTGGTGCAGCTGCAGATGCGCCTGAGAGAGAATGGGATAAACCTATCAGTATCCCCTGTCTTCAACGCCCTCAGAAGACTAAAGATACCTCTCAAACAGTGTCATTACGAGCTCGACCGATTCAACGGTGCCACAACAATCGCTAGCCGACAGGCGTACACGGTACGGAGCTAATAAAGCTAAGTTGGGTTGAGTGGAACCATTATCGTATGCTCGGCTCCAATTGTGGTACCGCTGCATAGGTCGGTCCACACACCCAGACAAAACACACGAATTCCTATGGGGGGGGGGGGTGTACGGGAAAATAGGTCACCGATTTTGACCGAGGCGAACGGCACTCATGTCAAGAGAAGGGCTTACACAATCACCCGCTACGTACGCAGTTCGGTTACATTATCATGACCACAATGTGGCCTGAACATCGTGTAATCGGCCCACTCCTCAGTAGTTGATATGTTGCAACAATAGGCTATAGATCTAGACTGGATTTGCTGGGGGTCATTACAGCCTACGCTGATGCAATAACGTGGCAGTTGCAAAAGCTAATAGAGAGACGGGCGAAGCTGGGACACCGCCTACCTGCTTCATCCGACATGGTCCCATTGACCGAATCGGACAAGGTTCCCTCTAATGAGAATAACGGTGCACATTGAGATTGCGCATCGCAATCCACTCAAAAAATGATTGATACACAATTACGATTCGGACGTCCGATTTTCCAATTGTCACACACCAACACAGGTTGATGCGTATGGGCACTGCACACCAACTAGGCGAATGTCAATGGGGAGAGGGGAGCGTTGTTCAGAACTTCGGTCGCTGCTCACGATCAAGCAAATGTTTTACAGTGTAGCCCGCTGCTTACACAATGCCGGTGTATTAGCGTCATCACAATGTATATGCTGAACATCATTCAGCAGTCTTACTGCTCGTTTCTTACCAACAAATTGGTGAGTTGCTACTTAGATTGCAACGTGTCCAACTTGTTTTGCAAAATGGCCACTTTGGTTTGCAAAATGTCCAGTTTGGTTTGCAAAATGTCCACTTTGGTTTGCAAAATGTCCAGTTTGGTTTGCAAAATGTCCAGTTTGGTTTGCAAAATGTCCAGTTTGGTTTGCAAAATGTCCAGTTTGGTTTGAAAAATGTCCAGTTTAAAGTGAAAATGGTATAATATGATAGTTACTGGCATGCACCAAGTAGAACGGCGAATGAATAAGAGTCCTAAAGAGATTTAATTACGCCGGTGCTCGGTATCGGTGGCGCAGTTTCGACCACTCGGTAAAGCATAACCGTCTAGCAAGGACAAGTTTCCACCGAGACAACGGGAAGCCAGACGGTTAGAGTTATTAATTAGAAGCATATATACGCAAAACTTTAAATTCCTTTCATGCTACATTTATGTATCCTAGAACATTATCCTGTGTTGGGCATGGCATATTGCGGATGATACTGGGAGGGCAGTGATCGCAAAAAAGCTACGATGAATACGAAGAATAGCAAACATCCGAATGACGTAGTGATGGCGCGGGAAGAACAATCGCGGAGCAAAACAAAAGGCTAGCAGAACAGGAATGAAACAGCCCTTACCGATAATAATGGAAGAAAGACTCTACTCCAGAAGCAAGAAAAAGCCGCTGTCCATCATAGCCCAACAATGAACTCTCATAACTGAAAACACACATTTCCTGCGAAAAGAAAGTCAGTATAAAAAGTCGATTAATCAACAACAAAAAATAGAGAACCTGAGCTGTCTCACAACAGGAAAGAAAGGTAGTGTACAGTACTCTTTTTGGTGAATATCATCAGAAGTTTATATACATAATATAGAATATTCAGACACAATAGGCTGATGAAACAAGGCAGCAATCCATGGAACCATAACGGGTTGGAAACTTCACCGGGTCGATCGACTTTTTTAGACAACAGTCATAACAGTAAAGACAAGCACGTATGCATAGACACGAAAAAGACAGAGAACGAGCTAATCGACTGGCAGGGTGACTTAAGCATTGTTCGATCGCGATCGGACTCTGAGTTCCCGAAATGGGCCAAGTTTGAAACTGCGTAGACCCCCTACTCCCCTCAATTTCTGTGCTCGCGTAGGCCACCGACTTCTTTGGTGAGCAAGCATCTCCCGGTCTCGCGTCACCGGATAGACTTGGGCTTAGCGTTCAAAGTTATGTTGCGTTATGCTAAACTCCGCTTCCTTCGTTTTGTTGAGGCTGTAGCAATAAGCAGGATAAAGCCAGAGTTGTGTGTTCAAAAACACTTAGTTGTCCGCTTAAGGTTGCCTGGACGTCACTCACTCTGCACCTCAAGCTTTTCTGGTCGCACTCACTGTTAGCTATATCTGTGCATATATGTCATTCACAAAAGGATTCCGGAGGCTCTGTGCTTATTTCATCCATCGGCAGCACGTCGACTATCTCCAACGATTCTAACGCAGACCCACCTCCCACTGTTATTGACGGTCCGGATAATTCTTCGCACACGAACCCTGTATATAAACTTCACGCCCGTCGTTTTTATGTCCCCCTCGAATGCGCCATCACATGTGATTCCGTCCCGTCTTCGGTAACTTGTTTCGATTCTGCATACGCACACAGTTATCCCTTCTATTCACATCCCCTCCTTGGCTTCAGTGCTTTGACGTACTTCCTGAATCAGTTGAGAGTTCGGCGCACCAGCATCCAAATAAGATAATACGCCACATGTCAGGAAAAGCATTAGACTGCAGTTTCAGACTGTCAGTGGACGTCGTGCCTTTCGGGGTCAACCCTGTCCTCTGCAACGCAGTGGAAGATAAGACGCGCTAAATTGCAATTAGCTTACAAACCATGACTGTCCGAAGCTATCGCCCTGGGCCCAGTGGCACAATGGAACAATGGTTTATGACGGGTATAAAAGCAATGCTTGACAGGTCCTGTAGGATGATGAGAATTAACATCGTAAAATTAAAAAATCGTGTCGATGAAAGTACGTGTGAAATGCATGACTCACCAAGGGATTGGAGATGCACATAAACAAGTAATCCAATAGGAATTTTAAGTGGATTCCGTCCACGTTCGTTGTTCACTAATACCATCATCCGATGGTCGCACGTTATATCACATAGTGCAATCGTGTCAGAGTTTCGTCAAGGCGTTTTTTGAAAAGGGATAGGGTGGGAGCGTTAATTACATGTTCTGGAAGGGCGTTCCAAGGTTGTGACACTCGGAGGAAGAAGAAATTGCGTCGACATTCCAGTCGACTGTACTGTGTGATCAACTTAAACTGATGACCTCTTAGAGATGCGTTTTGACTACGTTTCAAAAGGGAATGACACGTGTGGTTGGGGGTTCTCAGTATCCGGTACACCAATATGAGATCGCCTCTCAAACGACGGTAACGTCCACTGTATAAGTTAAGAGTTTTCAGCCTGAGTGGGTAGGGAAGGCTGGAAAGACCTTTGACGTATTTTGTCGCTCTGCGTTGTGCAGTATCGAGTGCAGTGAGGTGGCACTTCTGCCATGGTTGCCACGCTTGAATAGCGTATTCTGTGTGCGGTCTAACAAAAGCGCTAAGCATTTTCGGAAAGATTGAGGCGTCAAACTTCCCAAACGCTCTACGCAGAAGGCCAAAGTGTTGGTTTGCTCTCTTGGAGGCCTTTTCGGTCTGCATTAAGCACCCAAGATCTTCTTGTACAAGCACGCCAAGATCGCACTCATGAGAGGTCCGCTGTAGAATGTCAGGTCCTAAGCGGTAGTTATACGCACTCTGATGGCGTATGCTCAAGATTTTGCACTTTGTGGTGTTGAACTGCAGCATGTTCTCGTTTGACCACTTGTATGCTTTGTCCAAATCATCCTGCAAGGCTGTGTGATCCTCTCCTGAAGCTATGGCACGCCATATCTTTAGGTCATCTGCAAACAGCAGAAAGTTGGAAGATAGTGCAGCTGCAAGATCATTTATGAAAACAATGAACAAGCGAGGCTTGAGTACCGAGCCCTGAGGTACGCCACACTGAACTTCGATTGGTTCCGACAGGGTATTTCGGACTCTCACATTCAGGTGACGTTGAACGAGGAATTCGCCTATCCATCCTAGAATAGGACTGCCGATACCACAATGCTGCAGCTTGTTCAGTAAAATCCGATGGTCCAGTCGGTCGAATGCCTTAGAGAAGTCCAAGTAGGCTACATCCACTCCGACTTCGGCGTCCACAGACTCTGTCCAGTTTGAACGAGCAATCAGCAAATTAGTTGTGCAGGACCTGCCTTGGCGAAATCCGTGCTGCTCCGGAACGAGGATGTTGTTTTTCTCCAGGTACCCCATGAGGGCCTCGGCTACAATGGACTCCATGATCTTGGAGATTACCGGAAGAAGGGTAATCGGACGATAATTACTTGGATCTGCACGGCTACCATTTTTGTGGATTGGAGTGATGATCCCGTGCTTCCACATCGTTGGGACGTGCATCTCGTTAAGGCATCGCTGAAAGAGTGTCGCCAAAGGTTCAGCTAAGCTCGTGGCGGAAACTTTCAGCGCTTTTGGCCGAATGCCGTCCGCACCCGGGGAGCTAAATTCGCGCAACGACATCAACCGCTTCAATACAGCTGCAGTTGTGAAGGAAATGTGGTTAAGGCCTGATGGCGGAATAAGTTGCCTAGATATGGTGCAGGATGTTGGCACACACTGGAAAGTACGGCCGAAGTGTTGTCCTAGGACGTTCGCCGCATCCTGTGCCGTATGTGCTAATCCGAAAGCTGTGCGCAGAGCCGGAATTCCGCGCTTAACGCGGCGAAGCTTATTTATGTGTCTGTATAGTAGCTTTGGGTTAACGCAGAACTTTGACACAAGATCTTGTTGGCTCTTTACCTTATCCTCCCTGACGAGTGTGACACAGTGGTTTCTTTGTGTAATATAGGTGTTCCAAGTATCCTCGCTCGGAGAGGCTATATGGGCGCGCCATGCCAGATCCCTCAATCCCATGCATTTCCGGGTCCTGCTTCTGAGAAACGACTTCGCCTTGTCGGGTCGGGGGATTTTGGTTTTAGATGCCAATGCTACGAGCGTGTTGAATTTGTTGACAAATTTCCCGCATGCAACTTCTGGGGACCACTCAGTTAAGAAGGACCAGCTCGTAGCACTAATGAGTTCTGCCAGGTTATCGTAGTTGGTTACGACGTAAGATTCCACGTTGCTTTCATTAGGATAATCTGCATAACACAAGTATTGGAACAATAGTGTCGCATGATCGCTGCGGCCCAAGGGAGTGGATGTGGTTACTACGTCAATCATCAGTTCCTCATTGGTGAAAACGAGGTCCAAGATGGCCGGTTTGTTTCCTGTCGTGAATCGCGTTGGGGATGTGACATGGTTGTACAGCGGTGATCCTGCAATTAGCTCTTGTAGATCGGCTTTGAATAGTTCGCTCATGGTGGCTGGGGTTTCTAGGCCGTTCAGATTGAAGTCCCCTACCAGCAAAACATGACTGTATGACCGTTACAGTAAATTCTTCAAAGCAGAAGACAGGGCCTTGTCCATTTCTAAAGTGGACATTGGTGGACGATATACGATGGCCAATAAGCATTTATCGCCGTGCTTTAGGTGTAGGCAGCACCATAAGGAGTCTACGGTTTGAGTCCCAGGGTCGTTCATGAGCTCGATGAGAAGGTCTGAACGGTAGCAGAGAATTACACCGCCGCCCTTGGTGGGTCGATCGTTACGCAGTAGTGACATGCCAGGTAGTTCGATCTCAGCGTCACTAATCGTGTCGTTCAGCCACGTCTCAGTTATCATGATGAGGTCCCAACACATTGAGCTATGACGAGATCGAAGTTCTGCCAATTTGCTTAGAAGCCCTTGGGCGTTTGTATAAAGGCAATTGAGAACTACGGATGTTAGAAGCGTGTTTGAACATACGTTGGTTTTCCGAGAATTTACGCCGACCCTTGTTGGGTCGGCTGAGGGACGTTTTTTTGATGTGTCTCTTGCAAACTTCCCGGGGCCGTTACGGTGGGATGCCTACAGCGCCCTGAGTCGATCTGCAGCAGACTGTCTTTTCCTTCTTCATCGAACGGCTGGGGCGTTTCATTGTGTTCCGGTACAGAAATGCAGACAGCGGGGATCGCGACTACTTCTTGCTGGTTTCGTGTTCCCTTATCCATTGGTGGCCTGGTTCCAACCGCCTTCAGACGTATTTCTGATGGCAATTTGGTGCGGAACTTGTGCCAATTCCCGAGCACCGTTTCAACCATTTGTTTGGAGTAAAGCAAGACTTTAAGCACTCGTGGACCACTTCCTTTGTAGTTTGGCGATATGGGTAACCTCGATGTTGAGCTGGCAATTACGTCGTGGAGAGATAGTGCTTCGCGGATATACCGCCACTCTTCCAAGTCATGAGCTTTGACCTGCGACTCTTCCGGTGCCTGTGTTTCGGGGACACCATGGACAAAGATGGATCTTTCATCAGTTTGCTTGCGGTGTTCTCCAGGATTTTGTTTTCGTTGTCGACGCTCACTCCAAGGTATATCCGGGAATATGCGAACTAAGCATGATGAATCACGAAGACGGTGAGCTGACAAGAGGACTGTCTCTGCTTCGTTACCGGACTGCAATGTCACTTGAAGTAGTCTCGGCTCGCCATAATGAAGTGAGTTGGGGTGGCGGATGATACGACATAAGGTAGCCTGTTTAGGCTGCA